TGGTTCGCAAACTCCCTCCTGCTCCCCTCTGTTCTAACATCACTGGTTCCGTGGCGAGTGTCCTCTTTTTTTTTTGTTGCAAACTTGGATTAAAGAGGGAATCCTATAGCGGGGTATTCATCTTGATAAAAGTGGACATATGCAGCTCGCATACAGCCACTCGGCGCTCCAGATCCGTGATGGAAAACACTCATTGGTGCTCTCGTGAGAGTGCGTGCGAGAGCATGGTTTTTTCGAATTGTACTACTCATCCGCGATAGTAGCCGTGTTTGACGAGAAAGGGCAAGGTTAACGCGCGGCAAGTTCCGCGTCGATCGTGAGAGGGGGGACGAAAAAAAAAAGAGAAAAAGGAAAGGCAGCACTAGTGACGTTTCTCTTATTTTGTATTCTGGCGTATGATCCGAAGAATGTAAAAAAGCTTGCTAGTGTAATTTTGCCGTTTTATACAGGAACGGTGCCCGTCGAGCCTCCCCCATTTGATGGCCGTCGAAGTTGTCGAGGCGATTTGAATGGGTTTCATTGTCGAACTGAGATGGAAAAAAGACTATCAAGCGTTTTTACAAGAAGCCGCGGGTTCTTGCGAATAAGAATATAAGTGCCACCAGTCAGTTCGGATCGGTGGGTGGTGGAGTTAAACCCCAGGAAGGTCGTTTGACCTAGTCAAGTGCTCACATCTCTTCCCATTGCACACTCAGTCCCCCATCATTGCCACCCGGAATGGATGGGACCTGAAATCGTTATGAGGCTCGACCGCCACTTGACGACAACAGAGGGAGAAGCTCAAAAGACATTGGCTCTCGCTCAAGCGAGATCAGTGTAGTGATCAAGTCGCTGGCATAAACCACAACAATCCTTACGAAATGGGAAAAGTGTCGTTCAAAAAGTACGCCTTGTGCTCCGTATAAGTTGATATCTGATTCGCTTGCTGTTGTAGGCCGTCATCGGAGGAGTTATCGCAGTGCCTAATAGCTTGATCGTTGACAGTTCGCCTAGTGGCTAACGCATTGCATCAATATCTGCCGGCTTCGTCATAACATAGGTCCTGTTATTTTCGTCGAAAAATGCGTCATTTTGGGACGAGTTGGGCCCGAGATGAGGCGATGGTCTCAAACCCACCGCCCAACCTAGAGCCCGACGACGACAACATCTCACTACAGCACATACTTTTTACGAGAGAGTGATGGTCATGTTACCTATGTGATGGCTTCCCCTAGCCTCACCGCTCCGGACTGTGGCAGAGGGCTTTTTGACACCCTACGTTTTATGACCTAATCACTCTGTCCCGTATGCCCAGCGTCGGATAACGATTGGAGACTCGACCCGACTCCGCCCTCTTTGTTATTCGTATTGTGGCCAAGCGGGGGCACAAGGGTTTTCCCGAAGCACAAGATTGCCCACGCGTGCCGCCATCCCTCATCAGAATACATCCTGCGGAAATGACTCGAGAATACCTCCCCTTATGTCCATGGCGAGCACAGTCGTTCCCCTTCTGAAATTGATACCGACGACCCCAATCGCAGCGACTCGTCTCCCTCCTCCCATCATCTTTTTCTCTCGCTCCACTTGCCCCTCCCCTTGGAACTCCACCCATCTCTTCGTTCCCTCATCTCTCTTTCTCCTCTCCATCATGGACGACATCTATGCACGCTTCAACCCAAATCCATTCAAGATCGCTGCGTGGAATAGACTGTTGATGCTAGGGTCGTCTTCTACAGCAGTGACAGCAAAAGGCGACCCTACGCCACAACAGCAACAACAGAAACCAACACCAGACGTCCTCTACGACAGAGCCATTACGGTTCTGCTCCGGCTCAAGGAGGATCTGTTGCGTCTCGGTTGGTCTGAAGTTCCCCAAGAACGCTTACCCCCTGGGTTGCTCTTTATGATTGAGAGTCCAATGGACTCGTCTACGTCTACTAGATCTACCCCTCCGCGTAGTGCGGGTCCATCACGAGTGCCACCGTTTACAGGTCGACTCTTGCCCACGCCTGCGGCCTCGCCCGAAACACAGCCTGGTTCTTCGACTTCGGCGTATTCGTCCTATTTCGACTCGGACGTGACGACCTCGGCAACTGAGATGGGGACGGAAGACAGCAGCGGGTTAACTTCGTCCCCGCGGGTCACATTTTGCTTGCCTGCAGAGCTTTCTGCATTTCTAGAATTCCATCAAGAGATGGAATCGGCCATGCAT